TCAAGCCAGTGAGAGAATAAATTTCTCTTTGTTAAAGCCATCCACTTGTGGTATTGCTGTTATCGCAGCACTAGATAACTAAGACAGAATTTGGTACCGAAAGAGTGGGGTGCTGCTCTAACAGATACCTAAAATGTGGAAGCAGTTTTGAAAATGTGAATGGGTAGAGGCTGGAAGAGTTTTAAAGTGCCTAATAGTAAAGTCTAAATTGCCTTGAAGAGGCTGTTGGTGGAATTATGGACAAGGAAGACAGTTCTGGTGAGGACTCAGGAGGAAGTGAGGAGAGCCTTACACTGGAGATGGCGCAGACTTCGAGAAGCAGCAGCAGAGAAACAGCAGCAGCAGAACCAGGAGACCAGCGCGAGACAGCACTGGAGTAGACCCACAATCGAGAGAGTTGAGTGTTTTTTCACAAGAGGTTCCTGGCAGAGTGCGGTACCTCTGGGCAGTTATCGGTGGAGCTAAAGAACTTTGGAACCCTTGCCCCAGCAGGGCAAACAGAGGTGTTGAGGTCAGAGGGGCCAAGAGGCCACGGAACCAAGAAGCAGAAGCTGAAGAGACAAGGAACACAGGAAGCAGAGCTGCCTCCGTCTCAAAGAGTAGGTGCAGGACCTCTGGGATCTCAAAGGGTGGAGCTATGGCCTCTGGAGTTTTTAAGGCTGGGGCCATAGCCTCCTAGGTTTCAAAGAGTCAGATCTTCACCAACTCAATTCTGGAGTATGGGGCTGCTGTTCATGAGTGCCAGGGGGATGGTGCTGGATCCGCTGCCCAAAGCTGAGGGGGTGGGGCTGCCATGCTCAAGGGGCAGAAGAACAGGGCCTGCCGGGGCCGAGGGAGTAGGGTCAACACACTCCGATGGTCTAGGAGAATGGGGCCGCCCAAAGCCAAGGGAGCAGAGTTGCCGTTCCAGTGGGCCTGGAAGGCAGAGCTGAAGCCCAGGGCCGAGGGGCCTCTACTCAGAATCTGGAGAGTGTGGCCAACACCCAGAGGCTGGAGGGCAGGGCCATTGCTTACATGGACTCAGATAACAGAGTTTCTTTTTTTTTTCCAATTTTTTTTGAATTGTGGTGAAAATATACACAACAAAACATTCACCCATTCAACAATTTCTCCGTGTATAATTCAGTGATATCGATTACATTCTTCATGTTGTGTAACCATTCTCTCTTATCCTTTTCCAAATTATTCCACCACCATTAACATAAACTCAATGCCCCCTAAGCAAAAGCTTCCCCTTCCGCCTTCCTTCCCACCTCAGTAGCCACTAATAATCTGGTTTCTGTATATTAGCTTATTTCATGTAAGCGGGATCACACGGTATTTGTCTTTTTGCGTCTCATTTCTTTTGCTCAGCACAATATTTTCAAAGTTCATCCATGTTGTGGCATGCATCAGGACGTCATCCAGAGAAGGGTCTTGAGGGGGCCTGTCAGGGCCAAGCAGGAGGAGGCAATGGCCAGCCCTGGGATTGTCCCCTGTGTGGCCTTGGTTGAATCCTAACCCCTCTCTGGGTCTCTGTTTTCCCTGCTCCACCCTCAGAGCAGCTACTGTGTGTGCTAAGCATGGCACATGCATCCCCTCATTTAATCCACAAGGTAGATACTGCTATTAGCTGAAGCTCATAATCCTTACGTGACCTGCTCAAAGACACACAGCTGGTGGCAGGAAGCAGCCTCAGTGTGTGGCTGAGCTGGGATTTGAACCCAGGCAGTCTGACTCCTGTAACTGGTACACTCTGAGGGCTGCCTGGGTCAGAAGAGGAAATTCCTGGGCTGATGCTCAAGTCAGGCAGGAGACTGGAGTCATGGCAGGGCCAGGGGCCAGGGCCACTGACCGTGAAGTCACACTGTCCTCGTGCCTTGCCTGCTCCTCTCGTCTGGGGGTGTCCTCAGGGCTTCCTGCACCATTTCTCTTCCAAACCTTCATCGGCCCCAGGCCCCAGAGAGGTAGGAGCCACCTCACACTCACTTGACAGTTCAAAGCAAGAGAGTGAGTTGGCAAAGGCCATACAGCAAGACAGAACCTTCCACCAGGTTCCCGTGTCCCCAGCAGCCTCAGGGTGGACAGTGCCCGCCCCTCCTGCCCTGGGGATGCAGAGGTGGGGCAAAGCACAGAGGCCCTGAGGGGACACAGCCACACCAGGGTCTAAGCTGCCAGGCTGCACAGAGGCCAGGACCTGGGTGAGAGGCATTGTTGGGTCTGGGTGGGTGACATTTAGACACCCATAGCTGGTTCATTTTTCCATGTATTCATTCATTTATTGATCTAATATGCATCGAACACCTGCAACTGTACCAGGCGCCATTGTGGGCTTTGGAGTTTCAGCCATGAACAAGACAAACATGGCCTCTGCCCTTGTTGAGCCTCATAGTCGAGGACGGCTCCTTAGCATGGCCCTCAAGGCCCACGTAATCTGGCCAGCCGCCTTCTCCACTGCGTGCACTGTTCCCCGCCCCCCCCCCGCCCCCCGTCCAGCCTTGGCTTGCCCACCATGTGTGCCCACCCACACACAGCCTTGCCTCTTTCAGTGCCTACACAGCCTATTTAATCCAAGGGCCAGCTCACACCTCCTCCAGGCAGCCTGCCATGACTAACTCAGGGGGCAATGTTTGGAAAGTTGGGGTGACTTGGCGTCAGCTCCCCAACCCAGGTTGCTGCCGCTCTGGGTCCCCACCCCACCCTTACTTGTTGTGTGACCTGGGGCAGGCCCTTCTACCTCCCTTTCTGTCTCCTTGCCTATGAGAGAGGAGAATCAGCGCCTGCACCAGGCAGGGGTTCCAGAACCACCTTGGCTCAGCCTCGGCCCTCCTATACCTCCTTCTGCCACCCTATCCCTGGGTCACCCTGTCTGCAGCCCCCACCCCGGCCCCCACCCCACCCCGTTCCGCCCTGCTGCGTGTGTAGCAGGGAAAAAGGCAGGGGCTAAGGGGAGATCCCCTGGGCGGAGTCTACAGCTCCATCTCAGGAGTCCACCCCTGGGTGGGTCCAGCTCACGTGTCCTGGAAACCAGGTCCGGGACCATGGGGGTGGGGGAGCTGGAGAGAGGGTGTAACCAGGCTCTGGTGGCCCGACACCAGATCCCCTGCTGAGCCAGGTAGAGGTAGGGCAGGCTGTAAAAGGACCCTCACAGCCGAAGAGGCAAATGGAGAGGGTGAAGTGGGTGGGGCGAGGGTGTGCGCCTGCATATCTGTTCCGTAAGTTTCTGAGCATCTGTGTTTGTGTGTCTGCGTGTTGGTGTGTCTGTAGGTCTGCCTGAGTGTGTGCGGCTGTGTGTGAAGATCTGTGTGGTCGTGGACATGTTTGTATTGTGTTGTCACATTTCGGAGTTAGGGGGCTGTGTTATGTATGCTCGTCTGTTGGCATTTATGTGCCTGTGTGTGTATATACGTTCGTGTCTTTGGGGGTCTGTGCGTATTTTTATTTGCATTTATGTGTCTTTTGTGTTGACAGTGTGTGCTTGGATGTGTGTGTGTGTGCCCCACCTCACCATGGCCAGGCTATGGTTAGGGTCCAGCCCAGTTGCCCCATCTGGTTTGGTGACTCGACCCTAATGTTGAGGGCCATGGACCAGCAAGTCCCTGCCAGCAGTCCGTGCGGCTCTAGAGGTGGGGCTGTCACTGGGTCCTGAGTCTGGCTGGGTTTATAGCTGAGAAACACTGTGTCCCCCACCCCCGCCCCAATGCTGGAACCAGCTGGAGTCACCCACACTCCACATGGAGGCCCAGCCAGCCTGCGGACAGCCCCAGGGCCCGCCGCTCCAGACTGCGGGAACAGCCAGGTCCCAGGGCCAGCAGAGCTGCTCCACAGAACCCACTAAGGAGCTGGGATGGAGGCCCACTGAGCCTGCCGCCTCAGGCCAGGCTGGGCTGCAAGGTGCCAGGGAAGTGTCCCCAGCCCAGGGCTGCTGCTGCCTGTCTGCCATGTGGGACCTGGGGCAGCTCGGGCACCCTCTGTGGGGTCCATCTTCCTCAATAAAATAAGGGGCTGATGCTAGCGGGACCACCGCATACAGTTGCGTTGCTGCACTGCACAAATGCACCTGGCTGAGGGGACAGAAGACACTAGAACCTGCCCTGATTCTGCCTCGCAGCCCGGGGCACCTCCCACAACACGTTAGCACGTTAGACTATTCCCACATAGGGTGTCCGCCTGGTGCGGGGGCACCTGGTTCTAATGCTCACGAAGGACATGCCCCACTCTGATGGCTTTGGCTGGAGGGAGGGAGCACCAGCCTTTGTGCCCAGCCCCTGCCCCTCCCTGTGTCCAGGTGTCCATCACAGACTCTTGTCCGTCCCTCTCTGGAGACAGATCTCTGCCTTGCTGTCTTTCCCTCTCAATTACACCATTCGGTGTGAGAGCCAGAAGGGCCCCGGCGTCCTGCTCCTGCCTCCATTTCATAGACCCAGGCCACTGAGTCCTAGAGAAGTGTGAGACTTGACCCTCAGCCAGCATCCCCCCTACCTCTGCCTCCCCTCTTCCTCCTGTATCGCCTGCCCACCTGCCTGCCCTCTGTCCCTGGGTTTCCCCATCTGCCCCTGACAGAGTGTGTTCTCAGACAGGACAGGCTTAGAGGGACCACTTTACAGAAGAGAAGACTGAGTCTTGAGTGCCTTGTCCACCGTCCCACAGTGAGTCGAGGTGCTGGCCCTAGCCCTCCACCCCTGTCCCACCACCCCACCCTCAACGTCCCTTCACGCCGACAGTGTCTGGCACCACTCTGCTTGCTGCTCTGTATTTCATTAGGAAAGTAGCTGGGGAGTCCAAATGTGGGGTGGGCTGGGGGCTGGGAACAGTAGCCTGTCCCATCGGGGTGGCAAACCTGTGGGGAGCAGAGAAGAGGCCTGAGGGGCTCCGGGGTGGTTCTGTGCACCCGACCTCCCACACCCCCACTCTGGGGGTGGGTCCCAGGACTTGGAAGGTGGGGCTGGCTCACAATAACCACCCCCACAGGGGGAGCAGCCGCTGGTGAGGGTCCCTAGGCCCCTTACCCGGTCCTCAGCTCAGCTGGGCGGGGTGAAGCGACTGCTGTGAGGTGTGTCTCGATAGAAGCGGTCAACGCAGGTCAGGGTTCTGCGGGGACAAGAAGGAGGCACGGATGAGGGTGGGGTGGGTGCAGCCTCAAAGGGCCGTGAGGCCTGCACCTTCTCTCTGCTGCTCCTCCCTGCGTGGCTGGCTGCCAAGCCACAAACAGTCTTGCTTGCCAACTCTGCGCCGTTGTATAAATATAAACTTTGCGGAATGGAATTGAGCAGAGACGAATCACGAGTGAGGCGGAACCACAGTCCATTCATCTTTGGATCCCCCCTCCACACACACGGAGCCTGGCGGGGAGCTTGCAGGGAATCAGGGAAGGTTTGCCAGAAGCCTGGGCCCAGGAGCAGGTGGGGAGGCAGGAGGAAGGCGGGAGGAGTCTGTCTGTGCCGGCAGAAGAATGGAATCGGAAGAAGCAAAGCCAGAGAGAAGGAAAGAGACAGGCAGACAGACGGACAGACAGACAGATGGGGGAACGGAAGAAAGGCAGGGGACCGTCTGGAGAAAGATCTGGAGGCGGTAAAGACCGAGAGGCTGGAACTTGAGGAAGAGGCCTGGGGGGTGCTACCTTCCCACGTGTGGGTGCAGGCGCTGCAGGCTCTCCGTAGGGTTGGGGATGGGCTCCATGCGAGTGACTGGCTGGTTGAGGGCGTAGCCTCCGGGCTTCTGGGGCTGGATGCCACCTCGAGTCCAGCCTTCCCGGTCTAGACCCTTGGGAATGTTCTCGAAGTACCTAAGGCGGGGCGGGGGGGGGGGAGGGTGGGCAGAGGTTGCCATTGAGGGGAGGCTCAATCTCACTGTCATCCATCCCCCGCATCATCCACCCACCACCCCAGCACCCCAGCCTGAGACTCTCCATCCAGCCTCCTCCCGCATCTGGTAGCCACAGCTGGTGCAGCAGACCAGGCCATGCTACTCTGTCTGGTAGAACCTGCTGCGGCCTCCTAACCAGCCTCCCTGCCTCGGTCCTTATCCCTAGGAGGTATTTCAAAAGTGCACATCTGACCATTCCCTGGCATGCAATCTTTAGGGGACCCTCCACCACACCACCAAGGAAATGTCCACAGCCATGGCCCCAAGGCGGCCACTAGCCTCTTCAGCCCCTGCAGCCTCTCCAGCTGGCGGCTCTACAGCAGGAATCCTGGCTCCAGCGGTCCAAACTGCCCTCACATCCCTCCAGCCTTCCTGCCTTGTCCATGCTCTGCCCTCTGCCCAGCACCCCCTAAGCCCCATCCACTTGGCTACCTCACTCAGGAAGCTCACCCTGGCCCTGGCCCTGGCCCTCCCTCTGACCCTAGCCCTGGCCCTGGCCCTGGCCCTCACCCTGGCCTTGGCCCTGGCACTGGCCCTCACCCTGACCCTGGCCCTGACCCTCCCTCTGACCCTGTCCCTAGCCCTCACCCTGGCCCTGGCCCTCACCCTCACCCCCACCCTGGCCCTGGCCCTGGCCCTCACCCTGGCCCTGCCCTGGCCCTCCCTCTGGCCCTGGCCCTCCCTCTGACCCTAGCCCTGGCCCTCACCCTGACCCTGGCTCTCACCCTGGCCCTGGCCCTGGCCCTCACTCTGGCCCTGGCCCTCCCTCTGACCCTAGCCCTGGCCCTCACCCTGACCCTGGCTCTCACCCTAGCACTGGCCCTCACCCTGGCCCTTGCCCTGGCCCTGGCCCTCCCTCTGACCCTGGCCCTAGTCCTTGGCCTCACCCGTGCCCTCCCCCTGAGCTAGGTTCCCCTTCTTTGTGCCTCGCCCCCACCCCAGCAATTTCAATCATAAAGTACTTAGTGGTGCCTCCCTCCCCAGCCTGTAAGCATTTGGGGGAGCAAAGGAGACCCTGTTTTATTTGTTTCTCTCCTCCATTCTACCAAGATTCACTGAGCGCTGGGCCAGGTTCTGATGATGCAGAGATGAGCGGGACTCGGGCCTGCCTTGAGCTGATGAAGGGGGGTGTGGATAGATAAATGCAGGTCAGTGATGGCAGCCCCTGGGGGCTCCTAGCACCTGGTGGGGGCTCAGGAAACTCCGGAAGGGCAGGGGAGGGACCCAGCAGAGATGGCTCAGGGTTGGGGGTCTGTTGGAGCTACAGGAGGAGGGCATTTGCCCAAGGACGGGCAGGGACATAGTTGTCCCCCCAAGTCCAGAGCCAGCCTCTGCCCCTTTCCCTCCATGGGAGTAGAAGCAGCCACAGAGCTGGAAGTCAAGACACTGAGTCCAAATCCCACATTTGCCATGGGTCTCTGTGCAGCTCAGGCACACGCTTCTCCTCTCTGAGCCTCAGGTCCCCATCCCAAAGAGCTGGGGTTCATCTCAGAGGACAACCAAGGCCTTCCATCTGGGCCTCTGTGATTGCCCATTCACTGCTGTTCCCTGTGCCCAGAACACTCCTCCCTCACCTGTTCTTGTGGCTGCCGCCCTCACCTCTGCTCAGTGTCACCTTCTCAAGGTGGCCTACACTGACCACCAACTGAACATTTCAACCCATGCCGCACACCACCCCTCCGGGTCCCCCTCACTGGCTCAGCCTGTTCCATAGAGCTTACCACTGCCTAACCCACGTGAGGGGTCACTGAATGGCTGATTATTGTGTATGCCTCCTCCCTCTGCCTGAATGTGAGCTCTGCAAGGGCAGAGACTTTCTTTCTATTCCCAGTGCCTGGAACAGTGCCTGCCACCTAGTTGGCACTCAGTTAAAATCCGTTGAAAGAATGAATTCCATGAGGTACCCTGGAGCAGAAGGAGCCTTCGTGATGCAATGGTTAAGTGGTCAGCTGCTAACCGAAAGGTCTGCACTTTGAACCCACCAGCCACTCCCCAGGAGAAAAGACTCGGCGATCTGTTCCCGTGAAGATTTCAGCCTGGAACCCTATGGGGACGGCCACCTAAGATACAACTATTGGTTTCTACTCATCCAGAGCAAAAGAGAAAGAAGGAAACCAAAGACTCAAAGAAAAAACTAGTCTACAGGACTATTAGTCTACATGAACCACAGCCTCATCTACCCTGAGACCAGAAGAACTAGATGATGCCTGGCTACCACTGCTGATTAGGGCCAAGATAGATGGATCCTGATCAAATGGGAGAAAAATGTGGAACAGAACTTCAAATTCTTAAAAAAATCCAGACTTACTGGACCAGTTGAGATTGGAGGACTCTCCAAGGCTATTGCCCTGAGACACTCCTTAAGCCTTGGACCGAAACTAACCTTTGAGGTCATCTTTTAGCTAAATAACAGATTGGCTCACAAAATAAAGAATATCACCCGTCAGTACTGTGCTGTTTTAAAAATTCATCTATATGAGACCAAACCATCAACATTTACTTTAAAACAAGGATGAGAAGGTAAGGGGGCAGAGAAACTAGATTCATGGAAATTGAACAACCAGAATGGAAATACAATGAAAATGTTCACGCAATGTGAAGAATGTAACCAATGTCACTGAAAACTTTGCGTAGAAATGGTTGAATGGGAACCTAAGCTGCTGTGTAAACCTTCACTGAAAACACAATAAAGTATTATTTAAAAAAAAAAAAAAACCCAATGGGTCTGTCCTATTCTGTCCTATAGGGTCGCTATGAGTTGGAATCAACTTGATGGCACACGTTAACACCACCACCCTGGAGCAGGGATGGGGAGAGAGGAGCGTGAGGAAACGGTCAGAGAGGGGGAGGGCTACCTTGAAAAACCAAGGAGTTGCCTGAGCAAGGAAGTACCTGGAATTTAATGTTGTGCCGGGGGACAGCCCTTAACTAATGAGGTCGATGTGGCGTATAATTACCCCAGCTCTCTCACCCTTGACTGCAGTAATTCCCAGTTGTGTGTGTTGCACTGTTTTCTAGAGTCTCCTTGTGGGCTCTCTGGTTTAATAACATCCCTGGAATTGGCTGCCTTCCCTTCCCTGCTCCGCTTCGTGGCTCCCCCTTGTCCCCACTGAACTGCTGGCACGTGAATCCTTGGCTCAGGGTTGGCTTCTGGAGGAATCCACACTAAGACAGTTTGGTCTTCTCCAAGAGGCTGTGAGCTCATCACTTTACCTGCCCCAGCCTCAGCCTCCCTGTCTGTAAAATGGGTGCCAGGCTCATACCCCCAGGTTTGGGCAGGGAACGGGGCTCACGTTTGGTTGTAGGTGGTCAGGTACTGATTATCCATGTCGGGGTCATAGGAGCTCCGGACATAGCTGGGGTTGTTTAGGCTGAACCCAGTGGGCTCCTGCAGAAGAACGATAGAGGGGGTTGTCAGGCCAGGAGAGGGTGAGGATTTCGGGATGGGGGTTGGGTGTACCAAGCCTTACTTTCTTCCCCACGGTCTCCCGGCCAAGCATAGCAACGTTTGTCTGTTGCATCCGCTGGGGTGGCTGGAATTGCCAGTGGCTCATCCTGCTGGGTTCCGGGCAAGGAGGGGGCACCTGCAGGGGATAGAGCCACAAGAAGGTGGCTGAGGTGGCCAGGGTGGGACAGCAAGGATGGAGGGAGCGCAGGCAGAAACACACACAGCCCCAACTGAACCCCAGCCCCATTCTCCCTGGTCCTCCTCCTCAAAAAAATCAAACCAAACCAGTTGCCATTGAGTTGATTCCAACTCATGGTGACTCCATGCGTGTCAGAGCAGAACTGCACTCCATAGGGTAGGGTTTTTAATGGCTGATCTTTTGGAAGTAGAGTGCCAGGCCTTTCTTCCAAGGCGCCTCTGGGTTGCCTTGAAATGCCAACCTTTTGGTTAGCAGCCTACTTCACTATTTCAGAACAGATCTCTCACTTTCCAGCCCCCAGGCCTTTAACCCTCCTCCTGGGAGGATCTTCCTCCCCATCTCCAAATATCCTAATTCTTCCCATCCTTCAATGTCCCGCCCAAATGCCAGATCTTCCAAGAAGCCTCCCTGACTCCTCCACTCTGACTACGCCCTTCTCTGAGGAAGTCCTCCAGGGTCACTCACTCTGGGGTTCAGGATCTTTTCATTCACTCGGCTGAAGCCAGTCTCACGCTCAGAGCCTCTGGCCAATCCAGGTAGGAACTCATCTCCCTGGAGGAGGCAAAGAGGCCGCTGGCACAAGCATATGGCCGCCCCTCCCACCGCCCAGGCAGGTTCCCAGAGTGATGCCCTAATTGCCCCCACAGGAGGACCTCCAGCCCATGGGTGCCACTCAGGCCCTGATCACTGCCCCCATCCACCAGCTCAGCTCTGACTTACATGAGCATGGGTCATGGGAAGGAAGTCTGACTTAGTAACACTCCTGCCCGGGAGAAGAGTCTAGAAAAAAGGCCCAGAGAGGAGTGTCAGCCCAGCAGTTTGGCTGATGGGCCTCTTGCCCTCCCTGTTCTGAGTGAAGCTGGTTTCCCCCAACCCTCCTCTGCTTCCAGGCCCCCACTGCGGCTGGGCACAGAAGAGAAAAAAACCAAACTCATTGCCCTTGAGTCGATTCTGACTCATGGCGACCCGATGTGTTACAGAGTAGAACTGAGTTGCATAGGGTTTCCAAGGCTGTAATCTTTATAGAAGTAGATTGCCAGGCCTTTCTTCTGTGACGCCTCTGGGTGGGTGTGAACTGCCAACCTTTCAATTAGTTCAAACACAAATTATCTGTGCCACCCAGGGAGAGCTCAGTACAAATGGATGTAATTGGGGTAAATGAGGAAAGGGAAGGATTTGGGAAGAAAGGAGGGAAAGACATGATGGAACCCACAGGCCAGGGTTCTTGTCTGAACTCTTGAGTGAACTTGGCTATACTTCTCCTCTTTGGGCCTCATTCTTCTCATCTGTTAAATGGGGGAGTTGGACCAAAACAGTGGTTTCCACCCACGACAACTGCTCTTCCATCTTGGGTTTGAACTAAGAAGTCTACAGCTCACATTTTTTTAAAAGCCACTAGCCCTCCATTGCTGAACATTGTCATCAAAGATTTTGTAGAAGAGTCCTGATCAAAAGCGGGAAATTTTCAAATTTCAAATTCTGATGGAATCCAGACTTTCTGGAGCCATGGAGGCTTATGCATCCCCAAAACTATTGACGTAAGATAATCTTAAACCAAAAATATTCCCTGACGTCTTCTTGAAACCAAACAATAGTTTAGCTTAATTAGTAAAGAATGTCTGCCTTGAGCATTGTGCTGTTTTAAAAAACTATATGGGATCAAATTGACAACAGAAATTCAAAAGCTTAGATAAGAAATTTAGGGGCAATAATCAATGTCACTGAATTGTACATGTAGAAATTGTTGAATTGGTATATGTTCTGCTGTCTATAGTCTCAACAACAACAAAAATAAAATAAATTATTTAAAAGAAAAAAAAGCCAGAAGGCTCTAGACTTGAGGTCCTTCAGTACCCTGAGATTCTAGGCGGGGCCTAGCCTGACTTACGGGGTCCCCAGGGAGGACCTGGGAGGGCGGCTTGAAGACAATGGGGTTCTTGGTGGACTCTTCAGTGAAGCCAGTCTCCTCCTTGGCACCAATCGATCTCTTCTGCAAGAGATCTGCAAGAGACAGCCCCCCATGCTGTCCCCAGGCCACCTGCCCCACCTTCCTGGACTTCAGGTAGGTGGAAAGTGACCTGAATCCAAGCATCTGGAGACCTGACCCACCAGGATCATGGGCCCCAGGAGAGGACTCCAGAGTCCAGGCCAGGGAACAAGAGAGGAGGGTAGAGAAAGGGTGGGGGCCAACAGGCCAGGAGAAGGCTATGGACAGGCCCATGCAGCCCTCCTAAGCAACGAAGTTTCCTCTGGGGGTCAGCAGCCCTAAGGCACAGAGGTCAGCCTGGGGAATGCCATTCTCCCAAGCCACCTGTATGTCCTTCTTTCTTCCACAGGTATCTTCTTGGTCCTACACCAGCTCCGGGTCCCCCTGGGAGCCTCTCCTAGAGGTGGAGGGAGCAGGGAGGTGCAGCGGGAGGGAGATGTGAGCTCAGACATGGGCCTACCTGGCTGGTTGGAGGGCTCATTGAGATACTTGGAGTTGTACTCAGATGTCATGAATCGAGGGCCCTGGAACAGAGAGGGGCAGGGTAATGGGGGACACAAGGGAGACCAGGGCCCAGGGTGGGTTTGGTGGTGGTGGTAGCTCTTGGGTTGTCTGTGCTCTGAGCTGCCTTGCACCTCCACCATGAATCCCTCTCTGACTGGCATCACAGAGCCAGAAATTGCACCACGAGAATGCAGTTCTCCCATGGCAATGAATGCTAAGTCACGTACCACACTGGGCTCCTAGGAATGAACAACTGAACCTAGAGCCCCCAGGACCTAGACCAGAAGGGTCTAAACAAGGAGAAGCTGATGGAAGAAAATGGACACTCACTTCACAACTGCCCTGGGCTTGGGGTGTCTGGATGGGGCAGGAGAGAGAAGGAGGCTTGGGTGTTAAGCCATAAAATATGTGTAAGGAAGCTCGTGATGACCACTTTGATGCTCTTATGGAAATGTCAAATATCAAATCCTTTGCCCTCCCATTTTTCATGGTGTCCAGAGTCCACACTGAGTTGGCTCCTTGGGTGAGACGTGCAGTTCCTGTCTGGTGCAGGGAGAAGGAGGCAGACAGGTCCCTCTGCCCAGCCCGCAGCCCTACGCCTGGGCTGCCCACTCACATGTCGAGCATTCTCCCACTCCATGGTGCCTTTGCCCTGCTGCTGGTAGAGCAGGGGCACCTCCTTGGGCTCCAGCCCTGTGATGGCCTGGGCCCCATGCTCCTGGGTATCGAAATGGACCTTCTTGACCTGGAGGGAGGGAGCAGTCAATTACCCTCTAGGGGCAGGTGAGGGGATGGCAGTCACTTCCTGACCCTGATTCTGCTCTTGACCCCTACAGAGTATCTCCATCACAGCCACAGGGATCCCCATTACGATGAAGTCAGATCCTGTCCTCATCTGCTCAGAGCCCTACAGCACTCACAGAGCACTCAGGGTAGAATTGCATGTCCTGACAATAAGGACACAGATGATAAAAGTGAGTGGATCCCCACATTGTGGCTCCTCCCCTCCATGCCTGGTCATCTCAGCCTGACCAACTATTGGCAGTGCAGTCCCAGCTGTTCCCACCTCCTAGTGCTTCTCCCCCATCTCTTCGGCCCTGGCCCAACACTGACCTCCTTGGTGGAGGGCCCTGTGTTGGGCTTCTCCCGCCCATAGCCAGAGCAGGTCTGGTGCATGTTCCAGGGCAGTGGGTTCTTGCCATCAGGCACCTCCAACGGGCGGTAACTCTGATTGGTCACTGTCTGGAAATTGTTCCGGACTTGTTCCCTGGAGGGGTGTGGGTAGAGCAGGATCTAGGACCACCAGGGCCACCTGCCTTTATTCTTTGGGGTCTGCATTGCCTCTCCCCAGGAACTTCCCCTCTCCCACAGCCCTTCCCACAGAAACCTCAGGAATCTGCCTGCCTTTGGGCCCCGGGCCAGGTACCATGTCCTGAGTCACCCAGGGTCCCAGACCTAGGCCAGGCCAGGCTCTGTGCCTCCAGGTCTCGGGGCCCATCCATGGAGCCCGGGCTTGTTCTGAGGAGCTCTGATATGCCTGAGAGCTAAGGCCCAGCAGGGCAGGTGCTGAAGAGAAGGAAGTTGTACAGACTGTACCCCATGGATGGGTTGTCCAGGGCATCGAGATTGGCTTGGTATGAGACCAGGGGCAGGTAATTGGACTTGTAGCCTGTGCCTATGTGGCTGCCCATTCGGGGCTTGAACTCCTCCCGACCTGCCAGAGGGGAAATGGAAGACATGGGGACCATGGATCAGCAGAGCCAGGAAAGGAGTGGGAATCCCCAGACAGGACCAGCATCCCCCCAAGGGGCCTGGGGGTACCTGTGACGGGGAAGGCACAGATCCACAGAAGGGATGAGTGTGTGAAAGCCCCGCCCTTCTGGATTATGACAGCAGGAAATGGAGTCGATGACAGGGACAGGGTCAGAATCACAGTGACAGAATTTGGAAGGGGCAGTGTAGTGGGACCAGACTGACGGTACAGGTGTGGACAAGTCCTTGGGGGGGCTCAGGGACCATTGAGGTAGTGTGATGGGGTCACTGAGAGGGTGGGGCTGCCCTGCCATCCAGGGTCCTAGAGGTGGTCCCTCCCTCAAGGTGCCCTCACCGTAGGCTGTGCAGTAGCTGGTGGCGTAGAATTTCAGGGGGTCCGAGCAGCCCCCCGAACTCGTCTTCACATAAGGGGAGACAACCCCCAGGGGGAGTTTCCCCATCATGTTGCTGTGGGGGGCCCCCAGGGGGGCCTGGGAAGAAACCACAAGGGGCTCGTCAGCCCAGTAGCGCAAAGGGCCCCGCACCTGTCCCAGACCCCCATGGGGTGACCACAGAGGCGACAACCGACCCCCATATGGCTGGCCCCTTCCCCTGGCACTCTGCTCTTCTGCATCTACACCCCAAACTGAGGAAAGAACTCACACCCATCAAAACTTGTATTTACTTGTGTCTCAGTGCATCTTCCCTACATCTTACTATTAACTCTTCCTATTGGGTCGCTATGAGTCGGAATCGACTCGATGGCAACAGGTTTGGTTTTTTCTTTGGTTATCCCATTTTGTAAGGAGTCCCTACAGGGTGCAGACGGTTAAGAGCTTGCCTATTAGCCAAAAAGTTGGCAGTTCAAACCCACCCAAGAGGTGCCTCAGAAGACAGGCCTGGCGATCTGCTTCCAAAAGTTCACAGCCTTGAAAATCCTGCTCTGTAACACGTGGGGCCGCCATGTATCAGAATGGACTCCACGGGCAACTGACAACAACATCCTGACTCTTAATCACAACATGTGATTAAGGATTTTCTCACGGGAGGTAGCAGAGCTGGATTCAGACCCAGGGTACTTGACCCCTCAGCCCCTGATCTCAACGTATACACACCCTCCTCTCAGGGAAGGAGTGACTGGGCAACCTCCTGCCTGGGGAACTCTTAGCCTCCCCAGCTCAGACGCTTACCCTCAGCCCCGGGGCCCGGTCTCTCCCTCAGCTCCTCCGCCTTGCCTTGCCTGCTGCCTCCCACTATAAGTTGGCTATGTGCTCTCCCAGGGCCCGACAGCAGCTGGCCCCACCCTCACCTGCCCTCTGAGGTAGCTCTGAGGCTGGGGGAGAGGCTGTAGGAGGCAGGAGCCAAGCCAGAGAAGCCCAGGCCTTCCCTCCGGGAGGTGGCCCAGCCTGGAGAAACAGTGCATTGCCTAGCAACCAGCGCCTAGCAACGGCGTCCTTAGACCTCCGAAGCCCTTCCAGGCCTGGCCCAGGGGCTGACTTGGCCAAGGGAGGGTGTGTGCAGGAACTGCCCAGGCAGGACTCTGCCTCCTGTGGCTCTGGCCTGTTCCCAGTCTCCTTCGAAAGAGGCAGGAAGAGTTGCTGTCTGAGTAACATGAAATAAATTATAATCCTGAGTAATCACTCCCATTTATTGAGACCTCACTTCTCACCAGACACTTTACATCCTTTATCTCCAGTCCTCTGAGCAGCTTTTCCAGGTAGCAATTGTTATCCCTGTTTTCACAGGGGGAAACGAGGCTTAGACAAGCAGTGACTCGACTGGCCAGTGATTGCACACTCAGAAAACAGCACAGTTGGGATTCAAATGTGAGTGGGTCCAGACCCCACTCCATGCCTTTCAGTAAATTAACATTTACTGTGTTTACTAGGAGCCCTGGTGGCACAGGGTTTAAGAGCTTGGCTGCTAACCATAAGGTTGGCAGTTCGAATCCACCAGCTGCTCCTTGGAAACCCTACCAGGCAGTTCTGCTCTGTTCGATAGGGTTGCTATGAGTTGGAATTGACTCCACAGAAACAGGTATTTTTGGCTAAAGAGGCTGGGTGGTGCAGTGGTTAAAGCGATGGACTGTTAACTGAAAGGTTGGTGGTTCGAAACCACCAGCAGTTCCTAGGGAGAAAGATGTGGCAGTCTGCTTCTGTAGATATTTACAGCCTTGGAAACCCTATGGGGTCACTGTGAGTTGGAACTGACTTGACAGCAAAGGGTTTGGTTTTGGTTTTGGTTATGTTCTGTCCTATAGGGTCGCTATGAGTCGGAATCAGATCAACAGCAATGAGTTTGGTTTGGGTCTTGGTTTTATATTTGGCTAGAGCCAAATCTGTGGAAAGCACCTTCACACACATTGCCTTAAATAACCCTCAAAACCACTCTGTGAACTGTGTACCATTATTACAGGGCTAATAAACCACAGCTGTTACGAGCATGGCTGAAACATGATCTGCCACCTCTGACGAGCTTCTTAGCCTCCTAACTCCCCCATTTCCTCTTCTTAACGGAACCACGTAACTGTATCCACCTCACTGGGCCATCAGGAGATTTAATGAGAGCATGGATTCGGCACCTGGCAGATAGTAAATGCTCAAGCTTTTAAAGCTGCTATTCTTAGCCTTATTTTGCAGATGGAGAAGGTGAGGTTCAAATTGCCCAGGGCTCATGGCTGGTGGAGGCAGAGCCTGGACTCAGACCCGGTGAGACAACTCCACAGTCCACACTCCTTCTACAGTTTGCCTCCTGTTGGCTTTCAGGCTTGTAGATGTTTAACAGTGGGCTTTCTGGGGAGGGACGGAGGGAGAACTCTTGATTTGTAGCATTTGCTAGCTTCCGTGCTTTAAATACACCTGTCATGGCCATTTCAAGCTACCAACACACTGTCACTGAAGGGGCAGCTGGGCAGAGATGCTCATTAGCACCATATATAGTATTTCCATCTATAGCTATGCTAGACATAATTAACCTCAAGAGCACAAATAATGGTAGAATGTAGCCCTGGTGGTATAGTGGTTAAGTGCTCAGCTACTAACAGGAAGGTCAGTGGTTCAAACCCACCAGCCGTGCCACTCTGTGGGAGAAAGATGTGGCAGCCTGCTTCCATAATGATTTAGAAGTTTGGAAACCCTATGGGGCAGTTCTACTCTGTCCTATAGGGTTGCTTTGAGATGGCAATGGGTTTTTTTGTTTGTTTGTTTGTTTTTGGATGAGTTTTGATTATTTATTATCTTTGTTGTTAATATAATTTTTTTAATGTGTAAGTTTATATAATTTTAATTTTTAATTATGGCTGAGTTTAACAACCAGTTCACAAATTTCTGGAAAATTTTACTTTTGCAAAGCTGGCTCCAGGGCACCCCTGTTCTTAGAGCAGAGGTGTGGCTGAAGGGGAGGCTACTGGAGAGAATGATGTCCATGGCTGGGCCTGCCAGGGAGGAGGCTCATAGCCACACTCCACCCCCATGGAGAGGTGCTGGACTCAGAGGTGACCAGAGTTTCGTAAGGGATGTGGAACAGGCAGAGAGGCATCTGCCTTCCAGAGTATCAATTCTGCTCAGGGGGATCAGAGGCTGCAAGGACACAGCCCTGGCCTCCAGCGAGGAGCTCTGAGTCAAGTGAGGGAGGCTCAGTGAGTCACTCATGAACCAAAACACAGGGTAAGACCGCCATTTTGGGAGCACTCACCCAGGGCAAGGGGAGAGAGCGGCCCTCCCCAAGGTGTGCATGGAGAAATTGTTACTGCAATGGTGCATCTGAGCCACCTGCCGCAGAAGCCAATACTGAGATGTGTGAGGTGAGTAGCAAGAGGGTTTTCATTGTATATGGATATACAGGAGACAGAGGGGAATGAGCTCCTCCAAAATCTGCCTCCCAGTTTGATTGATCAGAGGGTTTTATAGGAAGAAATCAAAGTCCAGGGAATTTACGGAATGTTGACTCTCCTCTGGGGTGGCGGGCCACATTAACCACATTCCAGATATGTTGACCTTTTGACACCATCCTGGTTTCAGCCACAAGATAATTTTTCCTTGTTCAGGCATTTTACTTCCAGATTTCATCACCTGTTGTTCCACCTCCCAAAGAGGAACTTAGGTTAATTTTAAACTTTTATAAAATCATGGGAAAACAGGAGGGAAGAGAGAAGGAAAATAAATCAGAATCATGGGAGCATGCAGGAGTGAACTATGCAAGCTATGCATTGACAATACCACAATACGAGACGCTAGGCCTACACTGCTGACAATGAACAATAAATGTGAAGTTCCCACGCAGCCCCTTTCAAAATGCTTACAGCAAGAATCCAGTTCTGAAGCCAGACAGCATGGGCCTAGCTCTACTGCTTTGTAAAGCTTTGTGTATGTGACTTGTGCTTCAATTTCCTCTTCTGGAAAATGAAGGTAATAATAGTACCTACTTGTGGGGTTGTGGTACACATAAAACATTATTAGCCCAGTACCTGGCACATGGTAATTACCTCCTAAGAGTTAGGAAAAGGCCCTGGGGACAGTGTCTTTGAGTGCCACAGTGCAATGGATCACTTTTATGTGGCCTTTCTCACCATGGTCCTGTAGCTCCCACCCAAGTGATTGAGTAGGACTGTGCAAATAAGGTAATTGTGGCCCACCAAGCGGATTGTGGCCCACCAAGTTTTGCCATCCCGCTAGGCTTAAAATGAAACATCCCAGAGGCGAGAAGGAGAGTATCACACCAAAACCAAGGAAGAAGAGCCAAGAGCAGAGCTCATCCTTTGGACCTGGAATCTCTGTGTTGAGAAGCTCCTGGAACAAAAGACAGAGAGAGAGACAGCGAGAGAGCTGTTAACACTGAAGACGGTGAGAAGCAGCAGCAGAGAAATGGAGGCAGGAGAGACCAGCAGGAGACAGCATGGTGGGCTTCCTGGCCCATGGAGCTAGAAACCTGAGTGCCTTCAGGTGGGAGGCTTGCTGGTGGACTAGGATGCTTCCAGGCACTTGGTGGAGCTAGGTTTGCCCACCTACAGAGCTAGAGCTGAGTGCCTTCAGGCCAAGGCTTACTGCCTTTGGGCACTTATAGGCAGAGATAAAAGAACTTTATAATGCTTGCCTAAGCAGGGCAGAGGCTGAGGGCCAGAGAGGCCTGCCTGCAGCACGGTTGAGAAGAGGCTCTCCTGTTGGAGGAACTGTATTCTGAGTTGTTCCTGATCCTGAATTGTAACCTATCACCTCCCTAATAAACTCCATAATTGTGAATATTGTCTGTGAGCTCTGTGTGGCCATTGCAATGAATTATCGAACCCAGCAGAGAAGTAGAGAGTGCTGTGAGAGGGACAGTGGGTGTCAGAATTGGTAAAGATGGCAGAGAGAGGAAGTGTGTCTGACTTCCGCCTGACAGGAATCAGCCTTGGACTGTTGCTCATGATTCTCCTTCTCCCCCTTGTGAAGAGAGAGGAGGTCAGATGCTACCCTCACGTCATTTT